TTTGGCTATTAAGCCGATGCAAATTACTTATAATAAGTATGTTAATGTATTTCGTACATAAATTAGTAGACCTGATACATCCGAAATGAAGAACCTCGACTAATTTATTTATCAAATTAACACGTTTTCGTATAAAATTCCATTTAACAAATTAGCATTGCCATTATAAAAACTGTTAATACGTTAGCAACAAGAATATCCCGATGGAAACTAAAAGTTATTAGGTAGGTAATATACAAATAAATTTACTTATAATATTGCAATATTGATCGACTTATTCGGAACATATATGGGTAATTTTTTTGTACAAATCTAATAGCCAATCGACTCTCTAAAACCCATGCACCATAAATAACCTAATGGGTTATTCGGGCTCGTATTAATTTTATCTAAAACGCCCGGTATAACCATTTAGCGGTGACATATGATACGACCTACCGGTGATGAAACTAGAATAGAACGTATCTGCCTACTTCCTACGTTTTATACTATATCGAAACCGAAACCACTTATATGCATCGAGAATTTCTATTTACAACGCCTGTTGTATCCATTTGCGGTTAATTGATTTTTGATAAAAAAGCATCGGCGAATTAAATTACCGATAACCCAATTTCGTTGGGTTGTGAGTGGAATGTAAAAAGTTTGTTAATTATCAGAAATGTCGAAGTGTATAAAATTGTTTTTTTTTTGTAATATGCGACGAGAGGTCTCGCTCGCTGCGCGAGCTTTTATTGTATAAATTAAGGTATGTAGAGAGGACTGTTTTAAAGGAAGAAGGAAGCAAAAATTGATATTATCTCGCGTAAATTAGAAAGAAACAGGCGGTTTTGTGTTTAGTTTTGTATAGAAAAAATAATCTTCATGGAATTATTAAAGATTTAAAAATTTTTCGAAAATTTCCCTTATTTTGGAAAACTTCCAAATCAGATTTTTTATGATGCGAAACAGATCAGTACGGTTTTGAGGAGTCTTTAACAGATTTTGAAAAATAATTTTTGTAAAAATTTCAATAATAACGCTCGTTTTTCTCTAATTCGACTCTGAAGATGGAATCGGTGACAATCGAAACGTCGATTTTTCGATCCTTCGCTCTCATTCACATATCACTTCCTACTTTATTATTACTGCGATTATTTTTTTATATTGAAAAGTTGGCACTACTAATTATACAAATTATTATCAACTCCCCCTATTAACTATTCATCATTTAATTTTAAATAGATATTTAGATATCTACCATTTATAAAAAAAAAGGACAAAAAAAACTCTCCTCCCCGCACACACACCCCGAAACCTCCTCATCCCCCGCCGAAATAAAACAATTCCATTTCGACGTAACAAGAAAATACAAAATACAAGCCTACCAACTGCTCATCAACGTCACCCGTCTCTCCCTATATTCTTTTTTATCTTATCCTTTGTTGACAGGACAACTGACAAAAAAAAAATCGTTGCAGCTGGTGGTTCCGCGGCGGGTGGGGGGGCGCTGCCCGTCGTCGCGGCGCCGCGCATGCGCCGCCCTCGACGGGCGTGCCCTCCTCCCCAGTGGTAGGGACCCCCCAGTCTCACAGGCCCGGCCCACCTGTAATCATTGGCAACCCTGCTTCGGGCCGAGCTATGCCTACTTGATGTAATCAACAGCGAAAGCGTAACCTACCGCGATTTCGGTTTTAATAATACACAAGATATTATACAGAGCGTTAAAGACCTTAACGAGAGGTAGAAATTGTATGTTATACGCTGTATACTAACATGATTTATTTCGAATAGTTACTTACTTCTTCTTCTTCTTCGGATTTGGGCCTCAGCTACTGTGGCTATTCGGTCTGGATGCACCTATGGTGTAATACTGTTTTTAGTCGATTAATCACAAGTTATATTGTCTGAATTAAGTTATATTGTCAGTCATAAGCACTAATTTGCGAAAGCATCACACAATATGCAAAGTACTAAATGTTAAGCGAGGTTAGGTTTTTACTACTATCACTAGTCACTACACTATACTTGTGTTTTATTGTATTCACTTATAGCCTGGCATTTATTGATGAAAGGAATGATATAATAGATTATATGTTGGATATAAGTCTATAAATATTGGGGCGGATTGATTTAGTTATTTACAGTATTTTTGACGTTTGACAGCTACGCGTAACAAACACATCTCGATGCACGGAACGAATAATTCCGAATAGTTGGCTGTTAGTTGACGTTTGACGTTTACTTTTGTCCGTGACGTTTCGCGTATTATGAATTAAAGAATTAAAATAAAAAATAAACTTCCGACTCGTGACGCACATGTTCCGTATAAATGTATACGCAGCGGGGTGTGGGACCTTTTCACGCTCTTTTCTTTTCGGAAGAATCGAAAGATTATAACCCCCCTTCTATAATATGGTGCATATTTTAATCCCAGCGCCAACTATAATTATCGTACGGCTTTTCGTATTCGGAATGCTCCTTTTATGATAATTATAAAGTGTCCTGCGATATTGCTATTATATTGGGGTTTGATTCGATGCATGGGAATAAACGAGGAGATGCATCCCTTTTCGTAAATATACAGGGCGTTTCGCGTAAAAATTGATACTCGTTGTATTCCCGAGAAGTTAAAGGCCACACTTATCACATTAATCAAACATAACTATAATAATCTCATCCTATACAACAGTAGGAATCTCTTAATCAAAATAATTGGTTATCCATCGTGTATATAGTTTTTATGGCGGGTTCATTAGGAGCGCCGCTGCAGGATGTCCTTTAAGGATTAAATCGCGAAATTCTCGTTACCGTACAAACGTTTTTAATGGCGACGCGTTTTTATCTCACAACGATTACCTCAATTAAAAATCGCGTTTCTTATACGGCCCCATATCTAATTAAGCGACATCAGAAAGCGCTGGTGCTGTTGATTTTATTATTTTCATATCCTTCTCCGCCGGGCGAGGATAAAAGTGCAATAGCACGATAAAAATCTGATTGGCGGGATTAAAAAACAGTACGAGTAGATGCGTAATTAATTGCTTTGAATGTATTGTACATCCCTCGTATGATGTATAAAATTCTCTAGAAAACCAATCTTAAAACGAATATAAAAATAAATCCAGACAACAGGGAGCCTCGTCCGATCGTTAACTCATTATCAAAACTTCCCCGAATCCCAAATCCCTCTACCTGGGCTATACAAAAGTTAAGAATTGCGCAAGGCAAATCCACAACAATATTACCCAAATATTGGTTAATTCAATACTCGTAGACAATTACATACAGGGATTATAAACCCGCCGGTTTTTCCATATTATTCCATTACCTGACGAAATCATCTTGTAAACTGGTAAACTGGCACCAAAAATTGCAAGTGCTCGGCAACCGATCGGGGGAATCGATTGTATTTATAAGGAGGTTAAACGAGTAATCGCGACGTAAGCTGGATAATCATAGAAAATCCCGGCTACGGTTCGAGAAAAAAAGGAGCTTATGAGCAGTTTTTAAAAAGAGCAGACGCGCCTTTATAACACGACACGGAGCCACCATCAAACAAATATTGAGCCGGAATGCCGGCGTACGCACGCGCCATTTTTTTTTTCTTCTTGTTACGTTAGATTATTCCGAAGGTTTATCCCGATCATCCTAGATTAGAGCTGTATTTATTTCGGATGGGCAATCGAACGAGATCCGGGCGAGCTTTGGCGATTAATTAGCCGCGCGGTTTTACATTACATATGTACCTGTTATAAGGGATTAAATTTTACGCCGGCGGAATTTTAGTGCTATTATAATAATTGTGTATCTACATACACTCAAAAATGTTTTGCATATTATATACACCTTGCTTCATTTGCGATTGCAACATGGGCATCATTTCAATGAGTTGAACAAAGAAAGGTTATTAAAATAACAGTTGTCAGAGTAAAAAGTTGCAATGACACAAATGTCAGTCTTTCTTTTTCCTTTATAAGTGTCTAATGGAAGTTGTCTTTATCGCATCTTTAGACAGTCACACTGTGCTTCATTTGCGATTGCAACATGGGCATTTCAATGAGATGAACAAAGAAAGATTAATAAAATAACATCAGTTGTCAGAGTGAAAAGTTGCAATGACATAATATCACTCTTTCTTTTTCCTTTATAAGTGTCAAATTGGAGTTGTCTTTGTTGCACCCATAGGCTATGTTGCGATGAAAAATGTAGTTGAAATGCCACTGCCTCTTTATTATTTAAAACGTGATCTTTTGTTAAATTGTTTTTATTGTTAATTTTAAATGATTTTTATGCCTTTTGGAAACTAATTTTGCAAATAATTCGTTGTATTAAATGTTTATTCTTTTATGCAAAACATTTTTGAGTGTGTATATACAGGGTGGTCCGTAAGTAATGGTCCAAAAGTGAAGAGGAAGATATTCTGAGCCTCAAAATATTACAACCTGACCCAATTTGCCTTAGTAAAATATCGAAAATAAAAGTTGAAATAAAAAAAAAATGATATTTCGCAGCAAATTGAAGGATTTTGGATGTACAGAAGTGAAAATTTGAAGACCAGGTGTTTCAATCATAATATTAGGATAAAAACAATGTGGTATTTAGGCCAATTTTTCCTAAACATTCCATCCAATTTAGTACTAAAAGACGCAAGTTTTTACAACTATTTACACAGGTACCAATGAAACGCAACGTGAAGATCATAATTTCAAGCAGCAGGATCGATTTGCAACAATAACAGACTTATTTCGTTCGTTTGCGGTTTAAACCCTCGAGGAAGTTAATGCGCAATGATTATTAGCCGGTTAAACACCCCATCGAATAGTCGATCGGAAATGCATCGGGGCAAAAAAGAAACGCCCCAGGTAAGAAACGCACCGAAAACTGCATACTCTCACGTAAATAATTGCCAATGACTGTCCGCCCGCCTCCCTCCTACCCTCCGAAAAGGGCCGATCGAGCCACCCTTATTCGAACGCTCGTATACCTTCGAACCCACGACAGTCAGTTTATCGATATCTGGTCGACCGAGCAGGTCGATACTCGCCTTATCTCCATCGGGTTTTCGTATATTTAGCAAAAATCGGTTTGTTTCGATCGCGCGGTGTCTCGCCGGAAAAAGTGCCATGCATTTGTTCAACAACAGATTCAACGAGGGCGGTTCGGGCGGCGTCGCTACCCCTAATCACACCGAAGTGGTATCGAATTCTAGTGCGATCGATAATAGACTGGTGGATCCCAGCGTGGCGGATTTGCCGCACGATAACGGCAAAGTGTTGGGGTTGGAAAGCGCCGGTGAAGTGCACGAGATGTCGAATTCCAGCGAGGAAACGGCGCCTAATTTGCCAACGGGCAGCGGCGGGATATCGCAGCAGGATTACCATCCCGGTTCCGCGGGATGTATGCAGGATTTGCACCATGCGCACAACGCGCCCGGAGGATATTTGAATCTACCAGGCGCTGGCGGAAGGACCCAGCACGATGCTTATCAAGCGTATTGTAAGTTGATTAAATCATGTACAGGGAATGATGTGATAAGTTGGAGGCAATTATCTTGGATCGCAAATGGTACATTGGTACATAACCAATAAGCTCATATTGGCGTTTTATTACGGGGTTTTGCGCATATGGGATAGTTTAATGCTAAGCTCAAGTTTTATTCAATTTTTATGTTGCACCACTTGTATAAATTAAAGTTAAATTTTAAGTCTACGCTTAAGATTAAACGAGAAAATTTGATGGTTTATGAACGGTTTAAACGAAAATAGACTACTGTAGTATGCAATCAATTAATTAGATGGAAAATTAGCAATTAAATATCTTTTTGTAATATGGTTGGGGGTAGATTGTCTTATAAGGTTGTCTCTTTATGGAATTTGATCATCATAAAACTACTTTTGTGTCCCTATAGGGCTGTTTGAAATATACTGCTCCGCAAAAGTTAAGAAAGTTCACAAATATTGAAATTAATTTAAAAGTTTCAGGTTTTTTAATCGCCAAATTTAATATGAGTTGTAGAGGTAAGAGCAGAAAATCCACTCAGATATGAAAGAAAACATTTAATTTCGCATATTTAGAAATTTGGTGATCAAAAAGTCTGTAACTTTTAAAATAATCGCAAAATTTGCGAACTTCCTTAACTTTTGTGGGGCAGTTTAATTTTCGAAATTTTAGCTTTTTTCTTGATAAATTTGAAAAATGTTTCGAACAAAAATTGCTAACCTTGATGCCAGGATTCCGAATTTTCAATAAAAAATAGGGGTTTGTATTTAAATTTTTAAAGTTACCCGCCACTCCTCCCTTGTGGGGTGGGGAGCGATTTAATTCAGGATCTCCAACATTTCCAAATTATCATCAAAATATCTTCATAATCTATGTTTATTTATTCAATTTTCATCACAAATAATCTTAAAAATGTCTTTTTTTTCACAGAATACTAATAATGCAGAACTTAGAACTTAAATTTTGTGTTCTGTGGTCTTTTTTTCTCAAATGACAACTAAGTGTAACCAACATTAAATATTCCAAATAAAAACCCCAAAAAGTTACAAATTAACTAAACTATTCACTTTAATAAATGGTGCAACGTTAACGAACTTCGAGCTTGGTGCAAAACCCCGTTAACGCTACAGCAATTTTTTTTTTAAACGCAGATAAATCGACCATCATCAGGTATGGGAATTGTATAGCCCATTGTGTGTTATATTACCTGTTCTACGCGCACAAACCGAACAGATAACGTCTCTCTGTGTTCTTCCGAAAACTGGGTGTTTATTTGGATTACTCCGGTGTTGCACTTGTTAAATTTCCGCACGGCTACCTCTTCCCGGTAAAAAAGATTAGAAAGCGCGTTTTTGTCGCACTAAAACGTCGGTACGATTCAAAGTGCATTCGACATAATAATAATAATCTCTTCTTCCACAAAAACCCATCACCGCAAATTGTATATTTATGCCTAGTTGCACCGAAGCATCCTATTAGGATGAATTCCTATACTAAGTCTAAAATCAATTTTATACTATTGCACCAATTTATCTTTTTACTGTGATCTTAGGTTAACGATTTCTACGACGAAAATGTTAATCTCAAACATTTGGGAATTGTCGGGACAGTTGTAAAATTTTTGATATAAATGCAGATATAAATATTGTGGTTAATGTAGATATAATAGATGAAGAATTTAATGTGGTAGATGTTCCTAAGCAGCGACAAATTCGAATAAGAACTAATTAATTCGAAACATTCTCTCTCAAAATTCTCTCTCAAAATTCTCTCTCAAACTCTCACAACATTGTCCACAGGCGAGAACAACTCTCGATAGCCTCTCTTTCGAGGAGTTTTTCTCTCAATTGAACACCTCTAGCATAACACTAAATAATTTTTTTCCATTTTTTTCTGTTGCAGTGAAGCTATCCAGCATCAAGACGACTCCGCTACCGGGCGAAGAACCGAGCGGGTACGCCGCGACGGCGGGCGCCGGCGGGCTGTTCACGCACATGAACATGGCCGGGTACCTCAAGACGCCGGCGGGGCCGCACGGCCACTTCCCGTCGCATCCGGGCATCGGCTCCGGCCTGGCCGGCATGTCCATGCCCGGCCTGGGGCCCTTCGGGCTCACGCATCCCCTCGAGCCGGTCCCGTTTCCGCAAGGTAATTATTTATTTCGAAATTTTGTTTGTTTGCTATGTGTGTTTTTTTGCGTTAGTACTTGTGATGTGTTGGGTATACAATTCTTCTAGTTGAGAATTATGCTCTCTTTAGATGTGAATTATGCGCTCTAGTTGAGAATTATGCTCTCTTTAGATGGAAATTATGCGTTCTAGTTGAGAATTATGCTCTCTTTAGATGAGAATTGTGCTCTCTAGATCGGAATTATGCTCTCTAGATCGGAATTATGCTCTCTAGATCGGAATTATGCTCTCTACATGGAAATTCTACTCTCTAGATGAGAATTATTGCTCTCTAAATGAAAATTATGCGCTCTAGTTGAGAATTATTGCTCTCTAAATAATAATTATGCTCTCTTTAGATGAAAATTACGCTCTCTTTAGATGAGAATTATGCTCTCTTTAGATGAGAATTATGCTCTCTTTAGATGAAAATTGTGCTCTCTAGATGGGAATTATGCTCTCTAGATATAAGAATTATGCTCTCTAGATAAGAATTCTGCTCTCTAGATGAGAATTATTGCTCTCTAAATGAAAATTATGCGCTCTACTTGAGAATTATGCTCTCTAGATGAGAATTATATGCTCTCTGAATGAAAATTATGCGTTATAGTTGAGAATTATGCTTTCTAGATGAGAATTATGCCCTCTTTAGATAAAAATAATGCTTTCTAGTTGAAAATTATATGTTCTCTAAATGAGAATTATAAGAATTATGATATCTAGATGAGAATAATGCATTTTATAGTTGAGAATTCTGCGCTCGAGTATACAACAACCCAATAACATATATAAAAATCCCTATATTCGGTAGAAAATTGAAAAAAACAAAATATCCGATTCCAAGGAAGCCCGTCGGAGTAGCTCGGTGTAATTTTCACGCGTGCACTTTAAGGCTTTTGCCGTGTATCGATGCCCTCCGACCCCCCCGGGGGGTGCATCGATTGCGCTATATCGGAAATTTACCTACTTTTAACACGTCGACCGCCGCTTCGAGAGCGCCGCCCGCGAATCCCTCCGGGATTTCCGCAGGACAAACAAGGAAGGATCCCGGGCACGTGCAGCGAGCAGCCTCCCCCGATCCAATGCGGTTGTAGGTGTTAATTGAAAACAAACCCGATATGCGAATTCATTATCATTATATGCTCGTCGGAACCCTCCGCTTAAATTATGCGCCGCTCTCGCGAAATATCCGCCCCGGGGGTTATACAAGTTACAATACCACAAGAAATTGTATAGCAGATGCGCTAATTATTTATAGTTAGGGCATCATTATAGAGCGCTTTAATTAGACTTGATGAAAACATAATTCGAGTCACTCAATTGGCGCATACTCAACACCTTCTTTTTAGATAAGAAAATTAACTAGTTAACTCCCATTAGCGCATAATTGTATACTTAATACTTTTTTTTTTCGAGCAAGAGTTTGATATCGGGAGCTGTTATATTGCTTTCCCTTGTATTTAGCGCGTCTAGTGTTTGAATAAGGCGATACATAGACCGATATGTTTGCGAAGAGGGCGAGCCAGACCCGTCGGGTAAGCGTAATAAAGACTTATATCGATTGCCGTTCGCTACTTTAAAATAACGCTAGTAAATATTTCGAAGTAAAACCGCGAATCGCCCGAGACGAGGAGCGCAAAAGAGAGCTCGAGAAGATGAGAAAAAAAGAAACAAACAAAACAAGGGGCTTTTGTACGGTGCACCTGGACCAGAAATATCTCTAATTTTAAATCCAAATAACGCATTTATCACCGGCCGGCCGACGTAAATTCGGTAATTTGCATCCCAATTTGTTTCCAGTAGCTCGCGCGGGACGAGGACCAGAAGATGATAATAAAAAATCGTAAAAATAACTTAACAAATCATCGAAATTATACCCGGAGTCGGTGTTTCTCACAGAGACCGGGGCCGAATGGGCGCGAGAGAGCAAAGGATAAATTACGACCGGATCAGGAATTTCTCTAAAAAAATATACAATTCAATACCAGTAGCTGTTTAATAGTCGCGGCGTGAAAAATTATTATTATTACACACTCGAAAGCTCTCGAGCTCCTCATTGGAACTTTTTATACTCCACTCGCTATCAGGAGAAAGTAATTAAACGTTTTTTTGAAGAAGTAAATTCGATAAATAAGATTAGCGTTTAGAAGCAAGATTTGTGCACTTTACGCGGGATTATGAAAGTATAAATAGGAAGTAAATAGTTTTTTTGTATACAATCTCCCGATACCGAACGGACTATAATAAACCAACCCATTTCGCGTGAAAATTAAAAAGAATAAACCACGAAACGAGTTAGCTTTCCCCCTCATCACGCTCGAAATGTCCCGATAAAACATCGCCGATTGAATTCGACACCCTCGGGTTATGGGACGCGTTTATTAAACCATCAGCTGGACGATTTCCCACGGAAATTCGCGCCGATTTCCGATTTCCTTCATTATTCCATCCTCGTGCCGCCCGGTTTCGCCATTTCCACGCAATTTCCCGGAATCCCCGGACAAAACTTCACCACCTTATCTAGTAGCGAAGAAACTTTAACACCCAATATCTCGAAAACGAAGCATTTGCTACCATTTGTTTACATAGCAAAATATCATCATTTTTTCACGCAAAACCACCCCCCGAATCGTTAACGCCCTGTATACACGCGATCTGTACCTTCGAGGTGGATATATGATGGCGTTTTTGGCGTCGTAGCTTTCGGGGAAACGGCGGAAAAACCGTGGAAATTGGAGGGCGAGCGGAGACCGCGGGAAGCTGCCTGTGTATCCCAGAAAGGGTCGTCATGGAGACCAAGGGGGGCGAATCGGGCGCCCGACCACCCCGGTAATCGGCTCAGAGGAACCCCCGGCGAACGAGACTCGACTCGACTCCGAGTCTCTTCAAACTTTTCGAGAGAATATTTCGAGCCGACGGGCACTCCATGATGATGATGATGATGATGACGTGCTTTCGGGGATGATATTATATGTATGTACCTACATACAGGGCGGATAAAAGCAAGACGTCACGATTTAGTTATAATAACCATATTGTAGCTATGAAACTTCCAAAATATCAACTTTTCCAAGTAAATTGAGATAATTCGGTATAGTTTACTCGAATCTATTGTTACAAGTGTTTGTAAATCACGTATATAAACGGCGCGAAGTTAAAGTTAAAGCGCTACAAAGCAAACAATTAGGGAGAAAGGCGAGCTAAACGAGTCAACAAACTTTTAATTGATTGTTTGAATTTCCGGGGTTAAAAAAGCCGCACGTGCGATTTCCCATTCGCCAATTAACCGACGCGCGAGTGCGAGAGAGAGCATTCGATTAGTTGTAAAGTTAACTGGCTATAGCATTTATTCCAGTCTATTCCTATTTTGCAGGCGTGAATCCCCGGAAACAGCGAAGGGAAAGGACGACGTTCACGCGCGCCCAGCTCGACGTCCTCGAGGCGCTCTTCGGCAAGACTCGCTATCCCGACATCTTCATGCGCGAGGAGGTCGCCCTGAAGATCAACCTACCCGAGTCCAGGGTGCAGGTAAATTACACTTTAAATTATTATTAATAAACCCCATGGCCTGTGTTCAGCGCCTCACCTTAACCTCAATTGAAAAAAATCCCCTTGGTTACTCCATAACAATGAAAAACTGTCAAATTGAGGAGTCCTTAGTTACTCCATAACAACAATGTAAATCTGTCAATTTGAAACAATATCCTTAGTTACTCCATAACAACAATGTAAATCTGTCAAATCAAACGATGCCCTTAGTTACTCCATAACAACAATGTAAATCTGTCAAGTTAAAGACGCGTTCTTAAGAATAAGTCATCTTAATCCTGGATTATTGTTGTACTGAAAGAATCTCTTAATTAGATGAAATTGGCTCTCCTTGTTTGATAATAATTGGCTCTTTTAGTTAAATAATTGGCTCTCTTGATTATACCTTATTGACTCTTTTCTATAGATAATTCACTGCACTGTTTACTGAATGAACGAATCTCTTTACTGGATAATTGGCTCTTTTGCAGTTTGGGAAGAGTCATGATTTTCATAGGAATAAGTCATCTTGAATTGTTACTGATGCAAGGCTCTCATAATTTGATAAAATTTTGTCTCTCCTTGTTAGACAATTAGCTTTGATTAGATAATATGACTCTTTTTTGGATAATTTACACTGTTTACTATAAAGATAAACGAATCTCTTTACTAGACAATTGACTCGTTTTACTAGATAAATGATTACTTTATTAGATAATAGAGACTCTTTACCAGATAAAGAAAATTTGCTGGTTTATCCTCGCACTATTTAACCTATTCCTAAACTGCTTAGATTATACCTAACTAAAGAGTAACTCGTTTAACCGAAGAGCATTTGATGAAAATTGATACCGAGTATAAGTAATTAATAGATTGAGTAGATTGAGTAGTTCGCTCTCTTTATCCATTATGCCGCGCGTCGGAGGGAGAAAAACGAGAAAGAGACGGGGAGAAAAAAAAAAAAAAAAGAAATCCGTCCAGCCGATAATAGAAGTTTCATAGGTAACGTTGGCGATGTTTTGAAAAGGCAAAGGCGGGGTGTTTTACCGGAACAACCCTCGTTAATCCGCCGGGCTAATGGAAAACAGCCCCCTCGCTGCATGTTCTGCCTATTGTGTTGTTTCCATTCACCGAAAACGTATACAGTTATCCCAATGCGGCGGTTGTTTGGTTGTTGCGAACGCTCCCAAACGAAAGGGACCGAACCCACCCTTGTTCTATCTATCTACCCTTTATATATATATATATACGCCGGGAAGAGCCTTATGTACGGTACTAAAAAATAGCGAATATTTCGCGGCTCGGACGAGATTATAGTTTAAGCCGAATGAATTATTATTACCTAATAAATCACTACCTAATAATTCAATTCGATTATTCGAACGTGCACGCGTGGATTTAATTAGATCGAATTGCGGCGGGAATCGCAAATTTACCCATCGATTTATCCCGAATTTATTAACTGCGAATAAATATAAAACGACGAATTTCCATAATAGCAATAAAGCTCACGTGTAGTGAATTATACGGGGTGGCCCGAGCGATTTTACAATGCAAAAGTTATCCGAAAACACGTCTGTTTAATCCATTTCAATGGGCCACCCTGTATTCTCGCTTCTATAGAGAATTAGTGTAGCATCTTTGTATAGTAATGTTGTCGCACCCTGTATATAAAAAAATCGATTAATTCGGTCGATCCGGCCGTGAGAAAATATTCGGTGAATGCGTAATCGAGAATTGTCAAAAACGAATTGATTTTTATAATTTCCATATCTGATATTCGGGATTACGAAGATTTTAGTCAGCAGGTATATAACGTGCCGCAATTTATGCGGGCTACCAGCCAGATTATTTTATGTATGTAAAATCCCACGAATAAGGCAGAGTCGATATCCAAAATATGGACTTTGAATTGAATTTATTATTAAAAGAGAAATTGCCCAATTTGCAACAAAATTGACTTGTTGTTCGATACGTAAAAGACCAAAATTAGTTAGTAAAAACAAATAATTTATGGGGTCTTGCACTAAACTCGAAATAAACGAAAGTTAATTATACTAGCGTTTAATTTTAAACTTCGCTTAAGTTCATTAACGATGCACCATTATGAAAATGAAGAGTTTAGTTAATTTGTAACTTTTTGGGGTTTTTATTTGGAATATTTAATGTTGGTTACACTTAGTTGTAATTTGAGACAAAAAGACCACAGAACACAAAATTTAAGTTCTAAGTTCTGCATTATCAGTATTTTGTGAAAAAAAAGACATTTTTAAGATTATTTGTGATGAAAATTGAATAAATAAACAGATTATGAAGATATTTTTGATGACAATTTGGAAATGTTGGAGATCCTGAATTAATTCGCTCTCCACCCCTCAAGGGAGGAGTGGCGGGTAACTTTAAAAATTTAAATACAAACCCCTATTTTTTATTGAAAATTCGAAATCCTGGCATCAAAATTAGCAATTTTTGTTCGAAACATTTTTCAAATTTATCAAGAAAAAAGCTAAAATTTCGAAAATTAAACTGCTCCACAAAAGTTAAGGAAGTTCGCAAATTTTGCGATTATTTTAAAAGTTACAGACTTTTTGATCACCAAATTTCTAAATATGCGAAATTAAATGTTTTCTTTCTGTTGTTGTTAAATGTTTTTCTGAGTGCATTTCCTGCCCATACCTCTACAACTCATATTAAATTTGGCGATAAAAAAACCTGAAACTTTTAAATTAATTTCAATATTTGTGAACTTCCTTAACTTTTGCGGAGCTGTATATTTCAAACAGCCCTATAGGGACACAAAAGTAGTTTTATGATGGTCAAATTCCATAAAGAAACAACCTTATGAGAAAATCTACCCCCAACCATACTACAAAAAGATATTTTATTGCTAATTTTCCATCTAATTAATTGATTACATACTACAGTAGTCTATTTTCGTTTAAACCGTTCATAAACCATCAAAATTTACCGTTTAATCTCAAGCGTAGACTAAAAATTTAGTTTATACAAGTGGTGCAACATAAAAATTGATAGAACAAGAAGTCCAGAAACATTTACCCTCCACAAACGTTACGATCCAAATCAAAAACTAATAACTGCATAGCTAATACGAACAAAACAGCAGATGTGCTCCCATCGAATTTGAAAAGACCATCCGAATCACCGCAAAACCCCGAGCCCGGTCTCGGGACACGTCAAATTGAATCATTTACCGAACGGAACGACAAACAAACCGCCCCGTAGCCATTGTACCATTGTCGTCGCCACCGAACCCCAGAAAAATCCGGCGAAAATACATCGAGGATATCGCAAATCATGTAACATATGCGTTTCGAACGACATTTACACGTCCAATGATAACAAACAAGTCCTTTTGTTCGATCCCGTCCACGCGCAAACAAACCGGGAAATTTCTATATATGTATTAATTAGTTCAAATGTAATAGAGCCGGCGAATTTACTATTTCATACTGTACCTAAATAGAGCCGATGAATACCTAATAGATACCATGAATAGAGCCGAGAAATGGTTCTAATACAGCTATAGAACAATTCTAGCAAAACCCTTCTAGAAACTCTACCCTGTGGTGTCCAAATTAATTCTCTTGGATATCGAACTGGACGAATACCTAATAGATACCATGAATAGAGCCGAGAAATGGTTCTAGTACAGCTATAGAACAATTCTAGCAAAACCCTTCCAGAAACCCTACTCTGTGGTGTCTATATTAAATCTCTTGGATATCGAACCGGACCTCAAACGCACCATATCTCTTTGTTGCAGGTGTGGTTCAAGAACCGCCGCGCCAAATGCAGACAACAGCTCCAGCAGCAACAGCAGAAAGAATCCAACCGAGCCGCCCCGTCCACCCCGACCAAATCCAAACCGAACAAGCAACCGGCGGCGGCGTCGTCGGCGCCCGCCACGTCCGCCGCGACGGCCGGCGGCGTCCCGGCGCCGGCCACCTCAGTCTCGCCGCCCGTCGTCAAGAAGGAGGCGGCCCAGCAGGGCGGCTACAAGCCGACCAACAACGCCGGCAATCTGACGCCGTTGGGCAGCAACACGTCGAGCGTCATCACGACGCCGTCGCCGCCGGTGACGCCGGGCGGGAACGCGTCGCTGCCCTACCAGCACGACGGCTACAACACGTTCAATTGGCACCACGCGAACGGGCACGGCTCGTCGCCGCACCACCACTACTATTCGGGGCAGAATTACAATCACGCGTACTACAGCAGCCAGATGGAGTACTTCAATCAGCAGGCGGCGGGGGCGGCGCAAAATCAGATGCAGATGGGGCACCAGCACGTGGGCGGCGCGTACCAGATGGGGTCCTATTCGGGCATGGGGATGCCGTCGGGGCATCACCAGGGCTTCAGTCCGAGGCATCCGGACTGCGCCAATTTCGATTACTTGAACCAACCGGTTTAGTTATATATGCCTGTATAGGGAGTATATACGATTTTTTCTTCCTTTATATTATTATTATTTCTGTAAAGTTAGGTTTTTTTTTAGTTAGTCTAGGGATTAATCGATTGTACCTATATCGCGTTAAGTGCATATCAGAGTGTATATAAAAAAAATATGAATTATATAGGCCTAAAATGCGGCACTGTACAATAAGAAGGAAAACGAATATTTGTAAATATCTGCATTTTTTTGTATTAATAATGTGTAGGTAAGTTTAGAAAAAGGTTGAAAGGCACTTTCAATCGCGTATACAGGGTGTTCTCTAATAGCATACTTGTATTATCTGATTCACTTTTGAGTGCTATAAAATACAGGGTGTTTCTGAAACAAGTGGTCGAATCTTTGGGGGCAAGTAGAGAACCTCAAAATATGACAAAAACTTATATCTCATTTAAAAATATTCATTCCTAGATTTTTAAAGATGATTATTAATAAATAACCATCTTCAAGAATCCATCTTTAACGCCCTTTATACAGATAACCAATGACATTTCGATAAAAAGTTTTTGTCATATTTTTTCATAGTTTTTGTCATATTTTGAGGTTGTCTACTTGCTTCCAATTTTTGACCACATATTTCAGACACACCCTGTATATTCCGATTTTATTAGCGTGTCATTAACAAACGCCCTATATAACATTACTTACAAATTTTAGACGGATTCCGCTCGGACCAACACAATTATATTTAAAAGCGTTCTAATTTATCATATAATATCTACTTATCGCATCGCCCTCGTATACATCTATTAAATTTTGATGGTAATTCTGTATATTAGGTATAGGTTTTTGAGAACTCGTGTTTATTTTAAGTAGTAGTACAAAAATTAAAGTATACGAGGGCGAGACGATTTTTTCGAGTTGATGGTAATTGAAAAATTCGACAAAAGGTCAACCGACATTTTGATATTTTCAGGTTTTTTTTTGGTATAGATATTTACGAAATACAACATAAAATGTGTAGTACCTAATAATTTTTGAGGAATTTTATTTCAAAATTCTTTACGTGTCTTCGATTCGAGGATGATAATTTTACCGTTTTCGATATTCCAATTGGATTTCAAAAAGTACATCGAATCGTAATTACCAATTGAAAGGTCTTTTCAATTCTTCCTGTGTAAGTTAAGAGGCAATTTTCAAAATATTTTTGGAAACGTTACTACAACTAGTCTCTCTTTATTAGATTAAATATTTAATTTGTCGTTTAAAATATTTGCTCGGCAATCCATTCAATAAAACCGATCGATCCTGTTTAAACAAAATTCGTTTTTCATTATTTACCGTAAACGTTTTAATTATTCGAAAAAACGAATAATCCGAAAATCGATCGCCGACGAACAAACAGTAAAAAAAAACACACACAAAACAATAAAATACTCAAAATATATACCGACAAAAATTAAACATTTATTTCGATCGTGTACAGGATAATGGAAATTGGAAATACATCACGGAAATAAATAACTCGCATGCGGTCGAAACCCGAATGAATTATTCGTAATTTGTAATTCAATCGTTTTGTATTTGTTCTAAATGAATGTAAACATAATTTTTAAAATTGTAAATAAATATATTATCGACTACACTCGCCTCTATTTCCACACCCCTATATATACATGAAAAAAAAAATAATAAAACCTCCCTCTGCGGGAAATATTATAAGAGTTAATAACCGCAAGAATCCCGACAAGTGTTTCGAGTGCCTCTTCTCGACAGGACTCGCAAAGTGTCCTTCCGTGTTTCCCCGGCAGGAAACTAAACACTGCGCCCCGACGACGTTCGATTTTTCATCGGGAAAACACGCGGCCCGCACGCGCCCATTATCCTGCTAAATTAATTCGAAATGCAGTCTCGGTTTTCAACGGGGAACATCCATGAATAAATTCCCGAGTTGATTGAACGGAGGCTTCGAATTATCCCGCTATTTTCCGTAAGTAAATATATCTACCCAGCAGGAAATTTGGATAGGTTTTGGATAGTTAACGATGGGCAATCGAATCTGATAGATAATTGACTCTATATACTTCATAATTGTCACGAATTGCTAGATGATTGACTGGCTGTGTTTAGATGAATGATTCATTTTAGTGGATAAAATTGATATTCGAAAATTGGTAGAGAATTGCATCTTTTTACTAGATAATTTACTCTCTTATTTGCTAGATAAATGACTAAATAATCGGCTCACTGCTAGATAATCGACACTACAAAAATTGACTCCCTTTACTAGATAATTGACATTCTTTGCCTGATAAATGACACATTTTACTAAATAATTTACTCTCTTAAATAAATGATTCGTTTTACTAGAGAAATGAATCTTTTTACTACATAATTTTGACTCTCTTTGCTAGATAAATGACTAAGATAATCGACTCATTGCTAGATAATCGACTCTACTACAAATTTGACACGCTGTGCTCGATAATTGATACCCCTTGCTAGATAAATGACACATTTTACTAGTAAATTAATACTTTTTGTCCGATAAGTGACTCGTTTTACTGTAGATAATTTGACATTTGTTGCTAGGCTAATTGACTCTCTTTTTTTAGATAATTGACTCTCTTTTTTAGATAATTGACTTTATATTCTAGATAATTCGCCTGGGAATTCATCGTATCTACTCATACTTCTTTTAAGATATTTTCGGGCGCGCCTCGCACGATGACCCAGCACGAATATGGGCTCGGTTCGAAGGAGATAAAAATAAAATAAAAAATAAATAAAACTCTTCCCCGAGCCCGAATTACAATTAGCGAGCCAGTAGCGTGCTGTGACGGGATTAAAACGCCAACGAGAGAGCCCCGGTCCTCTCTGGAGATTTTCGCCGTGACTGGGCGCTATTTCGGGGGACCCGTTTCTTCTTTCGAGTAGCTCTCGCGGGGCGATAGAACACGTGTTCGGGGTTTTGTGTCCACATTGTTATCGAAGTCGAAGGGTCCGTTTTAGTTTTTATGTACCATTTATACCCGAGCAAATTAGGAACGCGTGTGACGTCACGGAGTTGTAATACTGAACGCATCATATATATGTATACACCTTGCTTCATTTGCCATTGCGAAATGGGGATTTCTATGAGTTGGACAAAGAAAGAGTATTAAAATACCAGTGGGTTAGAGTGAGAAAGTTGCCAAAACACAACATCACTCTTTCTTTTTACTTTATAAGTGTCTAATTGAAGTTGTCTTTGTTGTACTTGTATAGCCTATGCTGCGATGAAAAATGGAGCAATCTGTATGAAATTTTAGTTTATTGTAAAGTATACAGGTGAACAGGAAACATATAATTTTTATATTAAAAAGGGCGAAAGAAATAAATCGGTGTAAATAAATCTTCCCACCCTAAGCCGGTGATATCGGTATAATGGGGGCTACTGTATATCATTTTGGTTGTTATTGTGGCCCGACCGGAAGCTCGTTTTTCACCATATCTACCTGTTGGGTTTCTTTTATATACAAGAATCTCGATAATTTATAGCGTAAATCTCAAACAAATTCGAAATATCCAGTTAAATTATATCTAATACTCCTATCATCCCCAAACAATAGCTCGGAATATACAAGAAGCTCACTTAAATGGCGATTCTATAAGATGCTCATTTTTATATAAGGGGTGTTAAATTTGACTCATTTTAACATTTATTGCAATTCTGTAAAAAAACGGAAAAATTTAACCAAAAATAATTCGACAGATATTTAGCTCAAATTAGAGATAGGTTATAGGGTATAGAGTATAATTTGAGTAGAAGGGGGTCACTTTCAACATTGATTACAATGTAATTTAATAATTATTATTTAGGGTTTTTGTTTTGTAAAATAAATCATTTGTACAGATAATCATTTTTAATTTTATTCTCGAAAACGATCGCAGAAACGAAAAAGTTTAAAAATAAAATAGTTTCTAAACACAACAGACAATTAATTTTGTATTTTAGAATCACGAATTATGAATTCGAGGGCGTGCTTTGGCGACCTAAATTTTTAACGTGCGTTAAATTTCAACATTCTACTCGTAGAATCACCATTTTAGGCGTTTAAATTCCGATAACAATAACCACAATACCAACAATAATAGAACCCGGTGTTTACCGTAGCGCTTATACAGGCGAATGTATATACAATCCTTTCGAAGTCCTTTTCGGAGGAACCTTAACAGGCGGTGGAGTTTTGCGCGCAAAGACAATCGGCCGGTCTACCTGTCGAATAAAGCGGCTCATTAGCTAAAAGGCGGAAAATCGCGTCTTGTGTACACAGAGATCGGCGTCCCGTCGCTTCGGAGGTTCGTTCACGACCGGCCATCGGGGTTTCTAACAAAAGGAGATTTCCCCGCGGGGGCCGATCCGCTCTCTCTATCTCTCCCCCGTCCCTTTTGGGGATTTAAAATCTCTTTTCGTAATTAATTCTCGGTATAAGCGAGTATTGTGTTGCGCTAAAGGACGCGCCCTCGGTGGAAAACTCGACTGCGGAATCGTCGCGAATTGTATGTTTTTTTTTATAAGGTAGATTGGGGTAAATGTAAAAATGGGGTAAATGTAATATTTTTACCTGTTATGTTAATGTTTTTATTTTATATTTTTATAGTTCTTTTGTGCATTAGACAGGGTTTGTTTCTTATTTTTTCTGTATTATTTTGTAGTTCTGTTATTTTTCGAAATAAATAAATGAACAGCATATAAAATTTTAGAGGAACCAAATATTTTTTTTACAATTTGCCCCATATGTTTTTCTATATAATTGTATTGCACTTTAGAACCGTTTGTTACATTTACCCCGTATCATGGGGTAAATTGTCAACATTTTAAAAAATATGTAAAATCGTTTTCTTCCATTTTCAAAAAAACTTTTTAATACCTCGATTCCATTTTTTCTTCAAACATTATAATATTACTGGTACGTTACTGGTAAAAATTTCAAACAATCTTTTGCCTCAAAAAGTGCTCCTTAAAATAATTAAAAAGTGTGTACAAATTTTCATAAAAATATCCGGAGTAATAATGAAAATTATGATAGTTATTTTTTTTCTAAAATTGTAACACCCTGTAGCTCCAAAACTAAGAGATTTAGAACTAATTTTAATATAAACTTTTCTTCTTAAAATCATCCAAACATTCACATCCTGAAGTATCAGCACTCAATACATTAACACCCTGTATACTAATTAATTTTGCATTAGTTACTTATTTCACTCTACCTTTTATCAAACTTTCTGCATCCCCATAACTCATTATATCTTCCCAATTTTTTACTTCTTATATCAACCAATTTCTCCCTCATGCGATCTTTTGTTGACTACAACGCCTAATCTAATAAAAATCCCTGTGATTTATTACGACAATATAACATCACCTTTGCAAAAAAAAAAACTTTCTCACTTTTTACCCACCCGGAATTTCAACAGTGCAGGAACTCCCACATATTTTACG